CACAAAACCCACGATTAGAATATTTAGGAGATTAAGACGAGCACTTCGAATATCAAAAAAGCAACTAAACAAAGTGCAAACGGTAATTAAGTGAGGAAATTGTATTTTTAAGAAAGAATCATGCCTATGGCAGAGATAATCCTGTTTCAGAAGATCATTTAATTTTGGGCGCTTCAAAACAGGATATTGATTAAAATCACTCAAAGGCGAAACCTTAGCCTAAATTAGGCAAGCATTTACAAAAGGTAAAAAATAAAATCCACAAGCCAAATATATATCAATACCTTCGAAAGTTGCTCCTCGTTATCCAGAGAATGCTTGGGAGTGACTAAAAGTCTTTTTGGAGTCAGAGTATCACGCCCTGTTATCTTGAATCTTCTTCTAGGACGATATTTCGAACAGAAAAGACGAAACAAATGTGGCATAAGTTGGGGAGGGTATAGAGCGTCTAGAGCTTTTATAGCAGAATCTAATAAAACACCGTTCTTTCGCCAATCCCATGAATGTTCATCGATTACGTTGAACACATCCCTCATGAACTAAAAATATAATAGAGTACAACTGAAATCGATAAGAATTTAGACAACCACATATCAAAAAAACAAGAGCCTTACATTTCCTAAGAGTAAGACAGAAGGGAAAACCATAACAACGGTTGGTTGTCAAACGAGGGAATATTACGTTGAAATAGTCCAAAATACAACGAGAAATGATTCATATGTGCTAAAGGTACACTAAAAATATAGCCTAAGATTTATATAATGGAATGTTAGCGGAATTTCTGTATTCAATCACAACCACATAAGTGCACAACGCAACGAAAGATTTTAGAATAATATGGCTACGTTCATTAGGCAAATCCAAATATAAAAAGTCCACACTCTTATTTTTAGTAATTAATTGGTGAAAATGTTTTGTACGAATATATTTACCAAGTGCATCAATAAACCTCACATTTTGCAGGTATCCGACCTCCATCAATCTGACATACCCATTCCAATGACAGCAATTTAAACGTTTTAATGCAATTTGTAATTCAGATTCACTGCATGGAGTTAGCTTTCTTAATTGGTTCAATGAAATAAGATTAATTCCATCCGTATCTTCTGCCTCATCTTCGATATGTCCCATAAACGAAGAGGGCGATAGCAATTTTTTTAATGGATGTAATCGTGGACCATTGAATGGTACGAGCTCTATGATTTTATTTTGAGAAAATTCAACAGGGTTAAAGAAAAGGCTAGATGAACTAATCGTTTCAGCAGGCGCATTTTCTGGCTTGGCTTGTGGAAGCCAGAGGCTAGAAGTATATAACACAGTATTTGAGGATTCAACTTCTACCAATGAGCAAGTTTCCGTACCAGTACAGGCAAATACGGCGCCTTCATTCTCTGACTTTAGAACTAGCAATGGCTCCTGACTGGAAAGAAGCATTGCCTCAACCATTTGTTTCGGCAACTCGAAAACTATAAAATTGTCATTCACTTCATTGGCATTTTGATCAAAATATATAACCTGTTTTATGTCTAAGAAATCTTCTGGATCAAGCCTGGATAGCCGAAGGAGGTGATCAACTTGATCGAGGGTGCGAGAATCCATTGAAGGAATCTACAGGATCAGAAATATAGTGCGCCATGGTAAGCCAATCGTTTTTCTGAACCTTATTAACTACAGAAACATTAAAATAACATTAGTGATAAAGAATAATTTAGTTTATTTTATATACGATTTAAGCGTGTTTGTTATACATAACAAAATGAGAAAACTTTCATAGTTCATGTTTGGCTTTTGTGTCCTTACTACGAATATGTTTAATATCCAAAGATTTTTAAGCTCAAATCTATATTTAATATTTGTGTCTAGTTTTTTCAGTATTTTAAACTAAAATTTTAAAGATTTTTAAGTATGATTTTAATGCAAATCTATTTTTGCAAGAAACCTAAACGCTAGGGAAGACTGAAGCAATGAATTTATCCCAATTTTCACATCTCTCATTGTTAAGATCCTAGGCATTAGTCCTTATTATTATGAAGACTATCCTGCGGGCCAGAAGATTAAAAGTATTCGATTCCAACGCTTACGTCAGAACTGCAGTCCACCGTAGATGATAGGACTTTTTGGAAGCAAAACTATGTGAAATTTAATCGAAGGTATGAAGACCAAGATGGTGTAGCCTTTTGTGTGGTCGCAGTCTCCTTTCGTTGTATAG